ATGCTCATATGATTCGCGTTCGTTACTTCGATAATTTGATATGTGGGTGGACCAGTGCTTGGGTACTGCCCTTCCTTGGACAAGCATCCCACTTATGATTAACCCCTCTCGCAAGCATCTGCAACTACGAAAGAAGAATTAAGGTAACCTAACCATAACATGAAACATATGGGTCCAAATCAGCCCCTTACGAAGCAACGCATAAACTAGGGTTTAAGCTTTTGTCACTCTAGCAACCCATCATCTACTTATTACTTCCCAATGCCTTCCCCTAGGCCCAAACAATGGTGAAGTGTCATGTAGTCGACGTTCACATAACACCACTAGAGGAAAGACAACATACATCTCATCAAAATATCGAACGAATACCAAATTCACATGACTACTTATAACAAGACTTCTCCCATGTCCTCAGGAAAAAACGTAACTACTCACAAATCATATTCATGTTCATAATCAGAGGGGTATTAATGTGCATAAAGGATCTGAACATATGATCTTCCACCGAATAAACCAACTAGCATAAACTACAAGGAGTAATCAACACTACTAGCAACCCACAGGTACCAGTCTGAGGTTTTGAGACAAAGATCGGATACAAGAGATGAACTAGAGTTTGAGAGGAGATGGTGCTGGTGAAGATATTGATGGAGATTGACCCCCTCCCGATGAGAGGATCGATGGTGATGACGATGGTGACGATTTCCTCCTCTCGGAGGGATGTTTCCCCGGCAGAACAGCTCCGCCGGAGCCCTAGATTGGTTCCGCCAAGGTTCCGCCTTGAGACGGTGGCGCTTCGTCCCGAAAGCTTCCTCTGTTTTTTCCAGGGCAAAAGACACCTTATACCAGAAGATGGGCATCGGGGGGCTTCCAGGTGGCCCATGAGGCAGGGGGCGCGCCCCCACCCTCGTGGCCAGGGTATGGGCCTCCTTTGGTTGATTCTTTCGCCAGTATTTTTTATTAATTCCAAAAATTCCTCCGTGAAGTTTCAAGACTTTTGGAGTTGTGCGGAATAGGTCTCTAATATTTGCTCCTTTTCCAGCCCAGAATTCCAGCTGCCGGCATTCTCCTTCTTCATGTAAACCTTGTAAAATAAAAGAGAAAAGGCATAAGTATTGTGACATAATGTGTAGTAACAACCCATAATGCAATAAATATCGATATAAAAGCATGATCTAAAATAGACGTATCACCGCCCCTTCGGGCCATCGTGGAAGCCATAGAGCTTGAGCTTGAGCCCCTGTCGATCCATGACCGGCAAAGGCTGGGCTCTTCGTCATTTGACGTGAAGGAGCTGGAATCCTCCTTGAGGAGTGGCGCCCAGTCAATGGGGTCGAACTTATTGCCGGAGTTGGGCTTAGTGTGGGGAGAGCAGGGAACAAGGTTTGGCCAGTCCGATGTGGCAGACACGTCCGGGCGTATTCGAACCATCGCCTCATATCCGCCTCACAAATGATCTGAGTATGGAGGGTGCCAGTTAGCCCAGACGTTTTGGCTGGGTATAGATGGGCCGGTTGGGTGCCGAATTTGGTGAGCGGACAGTGATTGAGGTGTCCGCCCGAATGTTTTGAGGTTTTCATGAGTCCGATTATAGATGCTCTACGCACGATTTTTTCTTTTAGAAAAGAGACATATGACCATCCGAGACTAAGGCTCTTACAAACAAACCTAACAGTCTAAAGTTCAGAAAAAAAATAGTTTGAAACATAAAACATGAAATAGAGGGATACATGCTTACTAGGTAACAAGACGACGTATCGTCTGTAGGCTAATAATAAAACTTGGCATGAATGGTCATTTTAATGCTACAAGTAGTTGTGTACATTAAAGTGGTGCTAAAACTTGGCATTATTGTGCAAATACATTGCAAAACTTGTTTGTTATGTTCAAGGCATTGACGAGGCATTCCGGCAGGGCATGGGGCCCGCTGTCAGTGACCGGATGATGGGGACAGGACATGTGGCCGGCTATTTTTGCAGAAAAAACCTTTAGACTTTTTTTTGCACAAAAATAACGCTGGGAGCACAAATCACATTGATAGGAAAAATGAACCTCGAACCCGCAGGTATCCTTACGCGCGCCTTACCGAAAAGACCAAGGACTTTTCGTGTAGAAGTGGGATCAGTAAATTACTAAATAATGCCGAGGGTGACCTCATGTACAATTTTTATCTTTATTAGTATTTTTTGTTCCTAAAACAACTTATTGCTATTTATTGTTTTTAATATATTAACCTTTCTAAAACTACATTTATATTATTTAAAAAAAATTACGAGTATATCCTTTAGACTAACATCGTAAATTACTTTTTCTAACACAAATGAACCAGGGATTCGAACCAAGGACCTACAGCTTTTACAGATTGTTGATTCACCACCAGGTCTGATGACATTTAGTCCTCTACGCGAATAAATATTTTCTCTAGCAGTTTGGCCTAACAACATAAAATTAAACTCTAAACCCGAATGAAAAAGTTGCAGGAGTCAAACCAGCGACCTCTTGTGCCAACAGTCCAAACTAACACCCGACGAAGATTGTTTCTTATACATAGGCTAATGGTTCTTTTATATTGAGGCTGCATTTCTATTCCTTAGAAAATTTAGTATTTCACTTATAAATGTCCACATGATTTTTCAAGATACAAAAATATTTTGTTTCCTAACGTACCTAAACATTTACCGAAAGCATGAACAATTTCATATACTGCATGAAAATTTTATTAAAAGCATAAATATGTCAAATTATACGAATATTTATTTAAATATATTTAAAGAAGGCAAAAAATATTTTTAAAAATATTCATAAAATTTAAAAAAAATATTAATGTAGTTTTGGAAACGTTCATATATTCAAATAATAAATAACAGTAAATTCATTTAGGAACAAAAAATACTAATAAAGATAAAAATCGTACATGAGGCCACCCTCAGCATTTTTTAATAAAATATTTCACCTTTTTAAAACTACATTAATATTTTTGAAATTATATGTACATTTTATTTCAAAGTAAATTTAGATAAATGTTCGTATGATTTTAATTATTCAAGTTATTATTAAAATATCCATGAAGTATATAAACGTTTTCATGTTTTTGATAATGTGTATGAACTTTTAGGAAACAAAAATATTCACGATTTATGAAAAATCATGTCCAAAAAAAAAGCTGAATGTAGACCTCCAGTGCGTTTGTGCTGTTTCTGACAAGTAGGCCTCCCAACGTTATTTTTGTTCGGAAAAAAAACCTGGAGGTTTTTTCTGTAAAAAGTGCCGGCCACACACCATGTCCCCCATCGTTGGGTCACTGACAGCTGGCCCCGCACCACGCTGACATGTCTCGTTAACGCCTTGGACGTATACAAACGAGTTTTGCATCGTATTTGCACCGCGAAACTAAATTGTTGCACCATTTCAATGTACACCACAATTTGTAGCACTAAAGTGACTATTCATGCGAATTTCTAGCACCAACGATGTAATTGACTCCTAATAAATCATGGTGTCTGCCACATTGGCCAATGCAACTGACGCGCGGGTAGCTCCCTAGCCAATATTGTGTCCATGCATGGCCTTCCTCTGCTAATGGCATCAAGATCGGATGCTGGTACTCAAGCGCTCTGACCCCTGTCCCTTGGTCCCGCCAGAAGCTTCCATAGCTATTAAAGAATCACCATTTTATATATTAATTCAACTGGGAGTTTGGACAATTCCTCCTCGATAAGTGTTTTGTTGTGAGTTGTCCAGAGCACCAAACTAAAGCCGCAAATCCCACCAGGCAACTCATTGATCCCTTGCATTGGTTCCCTGAATGAGGCATGCAAATTAGCAAACCAAAGTTTCCATGAACAACCGGTCACCTCTCTAATCACACTCCAAGTGAAGCATGCGACGATGCACCGGAAAAGGATATGGTCACAAGTCTCGTCTTGGTCACACCAAACGCACTTGCCGTCCCTGGGGCCATGTCGTTCGACAGCTTCGTCACCATTCGGAATGCGATTTCGAGGTACTTGCCACAGATTTTTTTTGATCTTTTCCAGGATACGAGCCTCCCAAACGCCCATGGTCACATATGTATGGGTGGTCTAAAAAATTTCTTTGTATTAATGATTCCGTAGAGAACTTTTCAGAGGGTTCAAGACACCAAGTAAGCTTGGCATATGCCCCTCCAATAGGCTAATAGGTGATAACTCCTTCCAATCCGCAACCTCCTCCGGCCCTAGAGATTGGCGAAACCTAGTTGCCATGCGTTAGCCATCCACATGTCTACCACACTGGCATTTGGTTTGTCCAAGATGGCAAAAAACCGTGTGTACCTAGGCTATATGACATCATTTCCGCATCAATGACTCCATCGAAAAGAGGTGAGACTAGCGTTCTTAACCGTGAAGCTAGTGCCCAACCTAAGGCCTCCTTTGGTTCATAGGATAGGATTATCATAGGAAGAGGAAACTTGTAGAAATGAGATGACATGTATCTCAAATTTTATGAGTAGGAATAGAAAAAGACATGTCATTTGGTTCACATCATAGGAATATTTTCATTGAGTCTAGGCTCATATTTATTTTCCTTTGAAAAATGAAGGATAGGGAACAATCGTATGTAGAAATAGGAATCCATTCTTATCTATGAATCAAAGAGCTCTAAAGAAAAAATTCTACAAGAATCATATCCTATAGATTCCTGTGAAATTCCTACAAACCAAACCGAGTGAAGTCTGAAATAAACCTTGAGGTTGTAGATGCCGACGAAAATGAACCCTCACCTTTAAATCCCAGAAATCGGTATCCTGACTTTTTTAATCCCGGTCTATCCTAATCCTGCATATATGTTTGGCACACCGAAAAAAGCATAATCCTGACCGGAAAATTGCTTCTCTCGCTGTAGTGCGGGTCAGCACATCGTTTACCGAAAAAGGCTTTCCCCCGCTTTATATTATAAAGCAAACCATCCAAGCCAAGTATCCAACAAGGTTCAACAAGGATCAACAACAACTCGCGGAGATGGGAAATCAGGGGTCCGCCGCCATTGCCATAGCGGTTATAGCGGTGGGCGTGCTCGCGGCAGAGCACTGCAGCTGGCGCACGGCACTGGAGGCCTGGACCAAGTCGCAGCGTGCGTAAGTGGCGACGCTCTGGGATGGGTCTCGTACTACATCAAGGACTCCATCTCGCTGCAGCACCGCTCTTTCTGCTCTTGACGGCGCACTGGATTGAGCAGGTCGCCATGGCCGCCTCCCGCTGCAGCTCAGCAGGCATGGGCGCGCACGGCAAGGGCGATGACGACCACGGCCACCCGAACTCATTCTATAGTCGACGAGCATCAACAGAGGATTGAAGTTCTGCCGAAAGAGACGCACGTACAGGGCTGCCTTGATATATTCGTGTACAACAGTACAAGCATGAACAAGTAACTGAGTCTGGCTTGATCGATTAGATGATCTCTTCTGGATACACGTAAATGAGACGCAGGACACCGATGTGTGGAAAACGATGGATGAAGCGTGTGCCTTGCAGGGACGCCTTTCGTGTTAATATATAGATACAATTATAGGAGGTTAGGATGGCGTGGATTGCACAACAAGAAGCAATCTCAACAACCGAAGAATCTAAACTAAGCCTTATCTCTACAACCAATACTTATCGCTACAAACTGCATATGGTTTATTACAATACCGTATGTTACATGTTTAACACTCCCCCTCAATCACAACTCTCTAAGTTGAGATTGTGTCTAATGTGTTCTAATTGCTTGACACTAAGAGGTTTTGTAAACCCATTCGCAACTTGATCACCTGTGGGCACAAACCTAATATTTAACGGTTTATTGGCCATCCTTTCTCGAACAAAGTGGTAGTCAATCTCAATATGCTTTGTCCTGGCATGAAAGATATGATTAACAGACAAGTATGTAGCTCCAAGATTATCACACCAAAGTGATGCTGCTCTAGGGTGTTGCACACCCAACTCTATGAGCACATTTTGTACCCATATAATCTCAGCAGTTGCATTAGCTAATGCTTTGTACTCAGCTTCTGTACTTGATCTAGACACAGTTGCTTGCTTACGAGCACTCCATGAAATTAAGTTACCTCCTAGAAATATTGCAAAGCCTCCTGTTGATCTCCTGTCATCAGGACATCCTGCCCAATCTGCATATGAAAAAGCACTTACTAGCATGGAGTCTGACTTCCCAATTATGAGTCCATGACTTTTTGTTCCTTGATGATATCTAAGTATTCTTTTAACTGATGTAAAATGAGCACTGGTAGGAGCATGCAGAAATTGGCAGACCTTATTAACTGAGTATGAAGTATCAGGTCTAGTTAAAGTCAAGTACTGCAAGGCTCCTACAATACTTCTATACTTGGTAGAATCCTCCATCCCAAGCACCTCTCCATCATGGAGAGACAATTTTTCTGAGGTGGACAGAGGAGTAGGTGATGGTTTGCATCCTTTCATACCTACTCTTTGAAGAACATCCTGCACATACTTGCCTTGTGACAACACAATTCCATCCTTTACATGTTTTACCTCAATCCCAGGGAAGTAATGCAGACTACCAAGATCCTTGAGAGCAAAGTCCATGCGCAGATCCTTTATAAGAGATTCAACAGCCTGAGAAGATGAGCTCGTAACAATTATATCATCAACATAAATGAGCATAAAGATAGTGACACCACGACGATGATAAAAGAACAACGAAGTGTCCCCTTTTGAAGGAGTAAACCCAAGAGACTGTAGTTTGGACGACAACCGAGAGTACCAAGCTCTAGGTGCCTGTTTCAGCCCATACAGAGCCTTATCTAGTTTGCAGACATGCTGCGGAAGCTTTGGATGTACATACCCAGGAGGTTGTTTCATAAATACTTCCTCTTCCAGAACACCGTGCAAAACGCGTTCTTTACATCTAGCTGTCGTATATACCAATCTCTTGAGACAGCAACTCAGAGTATCAACCTGATGGTGGCAGCCTTTACTACAGGACTGAAGGTATCCTCGTAGTCAAGTCCATACCTTTGTTTGAAGCCCTTAGCAGCCAGCCGTGCCTTGTACCTGTCAACTGTACCGTCAGATTTGTGTTTTACCTTGTAGACCCACTTGCAGTCAATCACATTTCTGCCCTTGACAGGAGGAACCAAGTGCCAAGTCTTGTTTTCCATGAGTGCCATGTACTCCTCATCCATAGCTGCTTTCCATCGAGACTCACCAAGAGCTTCTCCCAAGTTTTGCGGTTCACGTGTAGCACAGAAGGAACCCCAACGTACACAACCATCTTTATAGATTTTTGGTTTAACAATACCACCTTGTGACCTTGTATGTCCACGTGAAGGACGAGGCAGCGCTGGTCAAGCAAGATGTTGAGGAAGTCGATCAACAGTGGCGGAAACAGCCGAACCTGAATCAGCAGAGCCTGCAGGCAACGAATCCAAACTGGGCGTGGGATCCGCATGTAGCGAATCAGCGCCACGCTCCGCATGCAGTGAACCAGTGGGCGACACCGCATATTCATGCAGGGAATCAGATGCCACCGTGGTGGGAGCCGCACCGAGCAGGCTGTTCGGGTCGTGGGAGGTCGAGCCAATCTGACCAGACGCGCCATCAGCTGCAGGTGCGCGGGGGGACCAGCCAGGGCCACGTGCGGGAGGCATGGATCCCGCGGAGAATCGGCCAAGCGATCCACCAGGGCGCGATCCCGAGACGATCCTCCCGCCTGAATCAGCATCGGGATCAGAGCCCGGATCTTCTGCGCCTGTGGCATCTCCAGAGTAGGTTGGCTGCATAAAATCAAGAGAAAAAATTTCGCCAATTTCTTCACCAGATTCCTGCACACTTGCACCAGGGTTATGTGATACAGACAATTGATCAAACTCTACCGCCCCCCTGACAGAAAAGTGGGCGAAGGGAGAAGATGATATGGCAGTAGAACAAGCTCTTTGCGGAGTTGAGCGCCGACATTTGGGTGAAGTGTAGCAAAGGGAAACATGTGTTCATCAAAGACCACGTCATGGGAGATATACACCCGACCAGAGGAAACATCTAAACACTTATACCCTTTGTGAAGATTGCTGTAACCCAAAAACACACACTGCTTGGAGCGAAACTCAAGTTTGTGTTTATTGAACGGGCGCAAATTTGGCCAAACTGCACAACCAAAAATGTGAAGGAATGTGTAGTTGGGTTTTGTGCCAAAGAGACGCTCAAGAGGAGTTTGATTGTGAATGACACGACTAGGAACATGGTTGATAAAATAGACTGCGGTGAGGAATGCCTCATCCCAAAACTTTAATGGCATGAAGGCATGAGCTAGTAGAGATAAACCAACTTCCACAATGTGGCAATGCTTCTGTTCAGCAGATCCATTCTGCTGATGAGCATGAGGGCAAGACACATGATGAAGAATACCAATGCGCTCAAAAAAAGAATTAAGTTTTTGGTATTCCCCACCCCAGTCAGTTTGCATGGCAAGAATCTTTCGGTCAAACAAACGTTCAACATATTGTTGGAAGAGATGAAATTTCTTAAACATATCAGATTTGTTCTTGAGTAAATAAATCCAACTAAATTTGCTGAAATCATAAATAAAACTCACATAGTACTTTTGTCTGCCTACAGAGATTGGTCCTGGACCCCACACATCGGAAAAAACAAGATCTAAAGGAGCTTTAGGCTCACTAACGGATCGAGAATAAGGAAGCTGATGACTCTTGGCCATTTAAAAAGCATCACGAACCAAGTGATGATCATTTTTATTTGACACAGGAAGATTAAAATCTCTAAGGATCTTCTGGACCATCGGAAGTGATGGATGCCCTAGGCGCCTATGCCACCTTGATGTAGATGGTTTTGGCACACCTAAAGCTTGACGAAGAGGAGCCTCCTGGCGGCCAGAAACAGGAAACAGACCACCTTTACTCTTGCCTTGAAGAATTGTGCTCCGACTGGTCCGATCCTTGACAAAGAAAACTTCAGGGTAAATCTCAAGGAATGCATGATTATCTTTGATAAGTTTATAACCAGAGAGAAGGCTTTGATCGGATTAGGGAGCATGAATGATATCTTTGAGTTCAAGAGAGCCATGAGGGGTAGTAAGAGTAGTATGACCAATATGTGCAATAGCCATACCTTGTCCATTCGCCATGTGGATTTGTTCCGTGCCAGTGTAGCGGTCACGTACAATGAGTTTTTCCAACTCCCCTGTCACGTGATCAGTTGCGCCAGTGTCGAGATACCAATTCGTATCCAAACCATAGGAGTGAACCGCATTGGCAGTGCGATTTCCACCATTGTCGCCATTGTTGCCACCTTCGTTGCTGCCTCCACCGCCCGCAGGGTAGCGGACGTTGTTGTTGTAGTTCCTGTCGAAGCGCTTCTTGCAGCGCCACGCGCTGTGCCCTTCAAGCTTGCAGATCTGGCATTTTTCACGGTCACCACGGTCACTGTCGTGGTTCTAAGCCTGACAGTAGAGTGGGGGGTAGGTATTGAGAGGCAAGGTCCTAGCTATGGAGAGGTTGTAAGCACAAAGGATGTACGAGTTCAGGCCCTTCTCGGAAGAAGTAACAGCCCTACGTCTCGGAGCCCGGAGGCGGTCGAGTGGATTATGAACGTATGGATTACAAGATGCCGAACCCCTCTGCCTGTGGAGGGGGGTGGCTTATATAGAGTGTGCCAGGACCCCAGCCAGCCCACGTAGGAGAAGGGTTAAGGTGAGTTAAGTCTGGGGCGTTACTGGTAACGCCCCACATAAAGTGCCTTTACTATCATAAAGTCTACTTAATTACAGGCCGCTGCGGTGCAGAGTGCCTCTTGACCTCCTGGTGGTCGAGTGCGTCTTCGTGGTCGAGTCCTTCAGGCCAGTCGAGTGTGTCCTAGTTGGTCGACTGGATCCTCGTTGGTCGACTGGAAGGCGACCTCTTCTAGGGATGTCCTAGGGTAAGTTACTTGGGACAGGTCCGTGACCCTACCCTAGGTACATAACCCCATCATTAGCCCCCGAATGGATTGAGGCTTCGAGTGAAGAAGGAGTTGACGTCGTTTCCGATTAACCTTTGCGCTCTAGTTGTGCGCTGTTCTGGATCAAAGAATCTCTTCGTCGACAAGGAGCAATTCGTCTTCGGTC